GGCGACAACAAGTGCAAAAGCTCGCGCGGAGCCAGCCTGTAGATCATGTCCAAGGTCTTCTGCTCCCCACTGTACTGCTTCCGGTAAATCAAGAGTGCAGCCAGCATAAAAGCTAACACTGGCCAGCCACCACGTTCACAATGCATTAGTAGCAAGTTATTCAGTCCAAGTGAAAGCCAGCTTTCACATGATCTGAGAAAATGGTGGACCACCTCCATCTTGAGCAATGGACACCCCTCGTAGTGCCGAGGATAATCCATTATGGTCATATCATACTCGGACAAAACATCAGCCATCATGCTCCGCGTCTCCCCCTCACGGAAATTGAACACCAACAGAGAAGCTTCAGGAGTGTGATCCCTAAGTTGACCGACAACCCCTCCTATGTACGATTTATAATTTTCTGTCTCCCATGGATCAGTAGTAAAGCAGCAGTCGAAAACTACAAGTACAGAGAATTGCCACAGCATTATGACTCACTTCAGAGTTTAACCAAAATAAAAGGAAAAGAAAAATCCATATTGACAATCCCAACAGTAATCCAAATCTATATGGTTCTGAATTTTTCTAATCGCGATGAACCTGGAAGTCAGGTACAGTGCTTCCACTGTCTCCATTACTGTATAACAACTTAATGGAACATACGAACAATCACAAGAACTCCAAAAATCCTCTAGTTAAGCAGTCAACATTTACTCAACTTTCTGCTTAACAAATTGTTATGCAAATTACCTTTACCAAAAGATTCAAATATCTCCTCACCTGTTTTAAGCTCAATATTGAAAGTATAAAGAGAAAGTTGAATTAAACAAACAAGAACAGAAACAAGAGTAGTCTATGAAGTTCATCATAGCATGTCTCACACGCTCAATTCGCTATCTACTCTGTTCTCTCAACTCAGTAAACAATAAAACGAAAAAGAAAAATCCCTGAATTATAACACCTTATTCTTCTCCGATAGTTTCCAGTCAGCCAAACGGAAAAAACGGATTACGATCAAACTCAAATAAGGAAAAAAAGAAAAAAAAAACAAAAAAACAAAACGAAAAGCAAATTGTCAAACACATACCAAACAGAAACTAAATCACGATCGCAGGAGACATAATTCAACCCCAAAAAAATAAAAGATAAGCGATAAGAACAAATTCAAAAGCAAAAAAAAAAAAAAAAACTAACCGTAAACTCGCTCACAGATCTCGAGCAATCCATCGGGCGGTTTTCTATAAAACAATTTGCGAAACAACGCCATCTCTCACTTTCCTCAAACTCCTCCAATTCCCTAAATCAGCTCGTTCATTCACTTTTTCACAACGACACGAACACAGAGACGCTCGTATCCTGTCCTTTTCCTTTCTCCGCAGTCCTGAGAAACTCCGGCGTCAAAAATTTGAAATTCCGGTCCGTTTTCAGGCAATCTTCAAGAAAAAGATTGATAATACGGGTTAGCACTGATTACGTTTTGATTAAGCAAAATCGACAATGGTGATGATTGGGTAAAATGGAAAATAAAAATGTTTTTCTTTGTCGTTTTCTGCACGCAAAAGCCCCTGTTCACACTTAACGGATTATTTCAAGAGGCGCGCTCATGACGTGTACACCACTACCAGCCGCCAAGTAATTTTTGTTTAAATATTTTAATGTAAAATAAAATGATATCTCAAATTTACCCCTGAAAATTAATTATTTAATTTACCAAATTATATAATAATCAATTTAATTTGCCTTTGTGACTTCCCAAAAATATAATAAATTATCCTATATTTAACTTAATTTGATAATTATAATTTTATTAATATATTAATTAATAAATTAAGTATACGTAAATTAAATATAGTTATTACAATAATTAAAAGAATACAATGTTTCTTTCGCTTAAAAATATAATAAATTTAAACTTAACTCAATTTGATCATCGTAACTTTACCAACACATTAATATATTGAATATAAAATCTCGTAAAATCAAATATTATAAGTTTATTATTGTTAATTCGTAATTTAACTTAATTTGACCGTCATAATCTCACTAATATACTAATTAATAAACTAAGTATATATAAATAAAATATTATAAATCAACTATTATAATAATTAAAATAATACAACCGTCACATAATGTTTCTTTCGCTCCAAAAAATAATAGATTCAAACTTAACTCAATTTGATCATCGTAACTTCACCAAAACAGCAATATATTGAATCTAAAATTTTATGGAATCAAATATTATAAGTTGATTATTGTTAACTCATGATTTAACTCAATTTAACCATCATAATCTCACTAATATACTAATTAATAAACTAAGTATACATAAATAAAATATTATAAGTCAACTATTACAATAATTTAAAGAATACAGCCGTCGTATAATGTTTCTTTTTGCTTGAAAAGATAATAGATTTAAACTTAACTCAATTTGATCATCGTAACTTCACAAACACATTAATATATTGAATCTAAAATCTTATGGAATCAAATATTATAAGTTTATTATTGTTAATTTACGATTTAATTCAATTTGACCATCATAATCTCACTAATATACTAATTAATAAACTAAGTATACATGAATCAAATATTATAAATCAACTATTACAATAATTTAAAAAATACAGTCGTCACATAATGTTTCTTTCGCTTGAAAATATAATAAATTTAAACTTAACTCAATTTGATCATCGTAACTTCACCAAAACATCAATATATTGAATATAAAATTTTATGAAATCAAATATTATAAGTTGATTATTGTTAACTCATGATTTAACTCAATTTAACCATCATAATCTCACTAATATACTAATTAATAAACTAAGTATACGTAAATAAAATATTATAAGTCAACTATTACAATAATTTAAAGAATACAGCCATCGTATAATGTTTCTTTTTGCTTGAAAAGATAATAGATTTAAACTTAACTCAATTTGATCATCGTAACTTCACAAACACATTAATATATTGAATCTAAAATCTTATGGAATCAAATATTATAAGTTTATTATTGTTAATTTACGATTTAATTCAATTTGACCATCATAATCTCACTAATATACTAATTAATAAACTAAGTATACATGAATCAAATATTATAAATCAACTATTACAATAATTTAAAAAATACAGTCGTCACATA